TATGTATATAGTACATTTGTATTTGTGTTTGTATATTTAGTAATTTTATATGCATATTCAAACAGTTTTAAGGTGCTTTTTAATGTATTTTTCTAGTTAAGTTGTTTTCTTTAAGTTATTTGTTATGATCGACGCACTTCCCGAGTGCCACTGATGTAAATTGTGTCTGTATAGAGTAAATAAATGATTTGATTTGATGTTCTAGAAGCCTAAACATGAAAACAGGATAAACTAGGCCTAAGCCAATTTTGCCTTTTGTTTAAACATTATCATTATTAACCTGATTTCAGAAAAAAGTAAAAATAGTTTGTAACCATCATCTGGCCTATTTTTTAAGGTTACAATATGGAGAATATGAATAAAATGTCAATTTTTTTGTTTTGGGCACTGATGGTGGTTTTGGCATGGTAAGCCTCATATGCGTGCAGCCAGCCAACCACCTTTGCCTTCAAAACACCTTGTTTTGACTGTCCGACACCGATCATTATGCACACTTCTTAAGTTCATAAAAAATATTTTTCCATAACTATGTCTTCAGATTTCCATAGAAATAAAACATTTCTGTAGCATCGCCTAATAAAATGGGCACAATGTCCTGGGCCCCAACTGTAATTTGATGTGGAATTTCAAGCAAACAGGACAGGTTGAAGATTTTCGGGTCACTTTTGTTTTCCCAAAAATTTATCCGCAATCCAACAAGTATGAGTTGTCTAGGGACAATGTAACCAAAGATCCTGATGGAAAAATCATTTGTTCTGGACTATGGAAGTTCCGTAGTACTTGAGAAGTCTGTATATGTAAAAAATAATAATAAAACTGAATATAAAGCAGTAAAAAACAGTGCATGATGGATTTTTGGAAGCACACAGGAAACATCAAAGTTTGGGTGTTTGCCCTTGTGCTAACTAAATCAAAAATTTCCCTGGCCCCTTCGATTTTTTATGCTTTATTATTATGCCCACCTCATTCATCGTATTACTCATAAATAAATTTCTTTAAAAATGCAGCATTTTTATTCCGATATTCTACATAGTTTTGTTTTTTTTCCCCAGATACAGTGTAGCCTTCTAAATAACAAAATGACCGATATTGTGGATCGCAGGCCGGCTTTTCAGCCGACCGCAAGAAGCAAGGAGGAATCAGATTTATAATGGGAGGCTTGGCTAGCTTTCTTTCTCACACTGACAGGATTTCACTAGGCCTAGGTCTAGCCTAGGCCAACCTATCAGCAGGGGCCCCGAACAGGGGAAAACATCACAAGTTAATAGAGCATTATTCTTTAATACGTGCATGGCAGTACTTGATGCAACTAGGCCTACTCACATTTTACGCCCACTTCGCACTTATCCTTAATTCAAAATTCCTGATTTCAAGGTTACATATTCAATCTTGCTAGCTTGCACCATTGGCACGAACCTGAATCATTGATGACGCAATGCCAATTGTGACGTCATCACATAAATGGGACAAAGGTTGGTGTATACGTACGTCACAGCAGAGCAGCCATTCACCTACACTACAGAAGATTATAGTAATTTCTAGTAAAGTACCAAAACAAATAATTATTCTTATCATATAACTAGGGATTTATTATAATTTTAATTTTGATTTCACTGGCTGAATAACCAGAACCTCAATGCTGTGTACTAACTAGTTTTTAAGTACAGTATTAAAGCCATGTTACTACTAGAAGAACTTCATGTCATTATTCTATGTATTATAATTTCATCATAATATTGTTTGAAGTTTTGCATGGCGAAGTAATAATATTAATGCTTGAAGTACACCATATAGATAGTTCTGAATGAACTGTTGTTAGTTGCGAATAATTATTTAACTCAATAATTAAATCTAAAAAGAATATTATAAGCTTGCAGGTAGCAATAATTTTAAGACTAACAATTACAAGTACAACAAGCTTTCACTCAACCAGAGCTTTTTCAGGTGACTGTACAAATGTCAGTACAAATGAAAAAAAAAATCAATCTTTCTTACTACAGCATATGAGAGACAATGGAGGGTGGGTACACATTCTTGCTCCAAACAAGCTAGTGTGACAATATAAAACAATAAGCTGGAATACAAGCATGAAAGCTAGTGTATTGTCAATAAAACTAGTCTTTAAACTAATGTACTTCATGTCCAGTGTTATATTTACTGGGAATACATAGATAGTGGCATGTACCGATAAACATATAACCAAAATAAAAATATGGGGTGTTCAAGTGTAGAGTATGAACAAATAATGGTTTTACTATTGATAGTACAGTACTAAGTTAAAACTGTATTGGATTTTTTTTTGGTTTAATTACAAAAACTTGATTGGTTGTGTAATTACCGTAATGTTTGTGTACAGTTCTTTTATTATTTACAGTTAAACTTGCCTAAGTCAACCTTGTGCCTAAGTTGAATAATTTCTAAGTCGATCTTATTTTACATGCCAAATTGTTGTGTTTTTCATGAATTAGCAATCGTCAAATTTTATCTAAGTTGAACAATATTTCAATGGCATTTTGGATTTGACTTAGGTAAGTTCAACTGTATATGGAGTGCAGTACTGTATCTGTTTGGGCTTGTGCCTATTCTCACTTGAGGCTAAAATAATCGTTCTTGACGATTGCCGCATACTGTACTGTACATAAGGCCCAATAAAAAAAATTATTAGTTTATCACCCTCGCGCACATGTCTTTCATGGTACTGGGAAAAAAAATAAATTTTGTTGAAAAAAAAACTTTAAAATTTTTTAAATTTATTTTTTTCATTTATTTTATTAAATAGTTAGAAGATATTGTTTGCCTTATCTAAATCATGTTTTACTTTGAATATCACTGCACCAGCAAATAACCCACGGGTGATATTTGGCTTTAGCAAAATTTAAAAAAAAAAAAAAACCTTCCTCCCTCATCACTTTTCCTGCCCAGATAGGGTGATAATATTTTTATAGGGCCTAAATATTATTAATAATTTTATGTTGCTATAAAAACACATTTTCTCACTTTAATTAACCAGGTCACAAAGGGCCCAGCCACGATTTCAAATTCCTAATGTGGAATAATTTACAAAAATAAATGGGTATCATTCAACAATAAAGAAATTGAATAATTTTTTTCAGACCACATGTACTTGGAAATTAATTTTTCCTTGAATTTTACTTCAACATGTGGTAAAAAATTGAGATATATGTCCTGCTACCTTGAGTTGTGTTGAGTGAACTTTTAAATTTGGTTCATGATGCAATGACACACCATGCAGAGAAATAACCTGCTGGGTCAGTGGCCTCTGAAATAATTTATTTGATCCTATTCAAACATCATCCATTATGTCAACATTAGTCATGTGGGTTGGAAAAAAAAACCAAAACTGAGGTGAACCATCTGTATCCTTTACACTTTCCCTATGGATGATAATGAGTCTTGTGATGATGAGAGGTTTATTGTTGGTGTGAAAATCCTGGTAGAGTACTGTACTGTGTTTTAAGATGTATCAATACCATTTTCAAGCCATGTGCTAAGCCCTGCTCCTTCGATATTGTATACACATGCATTTGTTGTGGGTGGAACATGAATGTTTGTAGGACATGTGGGTAATCCGACTCTTTTCTGATTGGTTAGTTAAGTTTGATTGACACCCTGGAAAGACTCATTAATGAAAAACCACAATGCTATGCTATGCCACAATTATTTTGCTTTATAAAATCCATAGAATGGTGGAAGATATTAACCAGTGTTTTTTTATTATAAAATCCAGTATTTTATATTTGAAAATTATTCATCAAAATCTGGGAAAAAAAAAACCTCATACTATACTTTAAAATTATTCATCAAAAATCCAGGAAAAAACCTCCAACATTTACTTTCAATTTTGAATTACTCATTCAAAACTATCAAAGTTTATTAACTTCCATTCCAATTTAACATTGTAGTTTTTATACAGTATTATTAAATTGTTTTGAAATAAAGTTAATCTAGACAAAACCAATAAACCAGACTAACATTTTAGAAGATCCAGTGAAGTTTGACAGGGAATTTTTTTTCTTGTCTTATTCTTTGATTACAAAGCTGACTTGCATAAACACAGTACAAAAAAGTTTAAATCTTAGTATCTTTTACTGTAAATGATCTATGAGGATAAACCCAGTCAAAAACTGCTTTTAAGAAAAACCCCAAATGAATGATTTTGATGAATATTTTAAATTGAAAGATGAATACAGTATAGTCATTTGAATAAAAGGGACAACCAGATATACGATTTTCTTTAAAAAACTTTTATTTTATATACAAACAAAAAAAATTTATATATCTCTTAAAGTTTTTATAACAAATTCTTTATTGAATAATCAGATTTCTATGTTTGAAAATCTGTGTATGAAAAATTATCAACTCTAAAATCATGGGCTAACAATTTTCTTTCAAGAAAAGAATATGAACTCAAACAAAACAGCAAAACCAAAATGTGCTACACTTTACTGAGATGTGGAAAAGCTGCTTTTATTGCACAGTCACTGGATGCTATAATCATAGAATATATATTTTGTCTTAAAATGATAAATTCATGTTCCTTTCCTTTCATCAAATACATATGTGATGTGACCAATTCTCAATTATAATTGTCAAATTTTATCCAAATCACAGGAATATGTTTTATCTTTAAAGTTATAGTCCATTATGATATCATCCAAATTCACAGAGATGGCTGCTTTTCTAGTAGTTTTTCAAGCTTTAGTGAAAAGCCTTAGGAGCGCAAGGGCTCCACATGATGCACCAGTTATGGCAAGGGCCTTGAAAGTTAAATCTTCTCTCCAGTCTTTCCGCCTGAAGTTCAAAACGAAGTTATCCTATGTAGGAAAAAGAAAATAATAATACTAAGATTGTGTACAGTAATCATAAACATGTGATAATTATTTAATTTGGAATATGAAGAAAGAATCTTGATCTATGTTAAGCAAAAACTGAACTGCAGCCAATTATGGATTTGTAACACAGTCTATTGCTCAAGTGGAATTCTAACTATTCATTTACATTGGCTAAAACCCAAATTCAATAAAGCAATGCACAGAGTGATATTTTAAAGTTTAGGAATCAAGCCAACTGCCTAATCTGTAATAAATAATAACATATGGATAACAGACACCCACAAGACTGTTTTCACATAACATTTTAATACCATTTTAACGGTTGTCATTTTATTGTTGATTACTGTGTATAAAGCATGTATAAATTAAAACAATGGTTAATAAAACCTGTGCTGAAGACTGCTATTATCAGCAAAAATGTAGGACATATCTCTCAAACAAATTATGAACACAAAATGGAAATGTACATGTTCTATTTGTGTAGGCCTAAGCCAAGTCTGCCCTATGTAAATTTTGATGCTGTAGGCTTGGCCTAGCCTAGTTTTCGTTGAATTTGAAAACAGCAGTACAGTAATTGGTACACTGAAAATAGACCATTTATTCATCATTCTTCCCACATGAAATTGTATAAGGTATATCAATGTTATCGAAATTCTCTTGTGAGCAGTACAGTATGCCTAAACTTACCCATCCTCCTTGTTTATTAATCCAACCAGACAATCTAATTGCTACATATTCTCCTGTGTATTTGATTAATGTTTCTACTTGATCACCAAGATTGTTCTCAACACAATATTTGGCCAATCTGGCACCGAATACATAAACCATAATAACACGTCCCCAATTAACTGGACCTTCCTCAAACATGGTGTTTAAACTTGATGTAAATCCATCGGATCCATCACGCTCCGGGCTGTACTTCAACTTCCTTACAATCCCACTAAGAGAAATATCATATTTGCTGTCCACTTCATCGCCGATCCTTCGCAGTGTTTCCGCATATTCCGATGATAGCTTATAATTTCCTCCTACCTTATAAGTAATAAAGTCTCTTGCAAGTTCTCTCGCCATCCTTTCAACATCTCCATCCTGCTTATTATTCCCCCTTAGTGTTCTATACTTTGGCCCGTCTACTTCTGATTCGTCTGAGCTGGCAGCAGATGGCGTCGGGGAGGGCAACATGTCTGCACTGCTACAGCTGTCTTCGTCGTGGCTTTGCTGTTTTGAATTCGAAAAATATGCGTTCGAAACCGCTTCTTTCTTCACCGGCGATTCCGTCAAACACGTCGCTGACATCTTTGATAATTGATTAATCATTTATAATAAACTATACAAGAAACGTGGGCGGAGACAAACTAAAAATTTCGCCGGCTACAAACGTAAAAATGTCCGTCCGTTCCCCTCATACACGATACGCCAACAAACAGTTGTTAGGCCGGTTGCCTTTCAGTTATGCTGGCTGTGTACGACGCTCACACCAAGAGCTTTTATTGGATATTGGACCTGCAGGAACATCCAATCACGGGCAACAACTACGGAATGGGCTAAAATTGGCATGAGGAACTTAAGGAGAAACACCGGAATTCCCACCGATAGCAGTCTAGTAAGTAAAAAAAATAACTTATTTATTTAAAATTTACTTTTTTATGATTCAATTTCCATTACCGTATATTTTAAAAATATCAAATTTTGAAATTATCAGAACAAGAATGTAGAATTGTTGTCAGGTGTAGAAATTGTCGAAACTTAAGAGAAATAGCAAGGCTATTCATTTGACGCGAACGCCGGTGACCCAAATACCACCACCAATTTGGCGCCGAGGTGTATCGAGAGACTTCTATAAATTTCCTACCTGGCTAGGCCTAGGCTACACGTCTTTCAACAGTTACAGTGATATAGATAGGCTATAAACTGTTTTTGTATCATAGTATTTCACAATTGTTAATGTTTAAAATTGTATATTGTATATTCACTATCTATGTCGAGTACCTCTATTTATGAATCCCCTAGGCTCTAGGCCCTAGCTTAATATATTTCCTTCATCATGCTCCAGCCTACTCCATCCATCCATCCAGGGTAAAAAAAAATTAAGAAAAACCCTCCAAAATAGCCTACCTAGGGCCTACTCCATGCATCCAGGCTAAAAAAAAATCAAGAAAACCCTAAAAAATGATTACGGTAAGTAAAAATGTTGGAAAAAATTAGCTGCTTATTTAAAATACACTCATCATAAGGGCAAATAGACAAATTTATTAGATTATCACTCCCGCTCGCGTCAAAAATACGGGAAATATTGATGCAGGAATAAAAAAAAAAGTTTTTTTTGCCGCATCAATTATTCCAACAGCATAAAAATAACAATGCAATTTTGTGACTTCAAATACATTTTCATTAAAAAAACTATAAAAGTAAACCAGTTTTCATACAATATTTACTATAAGACACCAAATATAAACAGTCCCTCCCTCATCGATAAAAACAAAAGAGAAATAACAAAAAGCGAGATAATAATTAAAAAGAAAAGAAAAACCGCCCTCCCTCATCATTTAAAAAAAAAAGAAGAGAGATTCAAATTGATTTAAGTATATTTTTGACCAAGAACTCAATTTAGTAATTACTGCACACAATATTCACTATTGACAATCCTTGATGCATGTGTTGTATGCCTAAATAAAAAAAAATAAAAAAATTAGGCCAAAAACAATTATTGTGTTGGCCACAGCCGACCAATTTTTTTTTTCTCGAAATTAAGAGTCTGCATTTTATTTATTTATTTATTTTTTTTTTTGACAACGAACAATATTTTTTTATTAGCAAATAAGGCTGAAATAGCCTTGTCGAGACTAGGGGGCTAAGGCTAGCCTATTTTGCTGGATGGTACACGATTCAAATCCAAAATTGTTGTATTATTTGTGTATTTTCTACTTTTTAGGCATCATCACGTATTTGGTTGTAAAAAAAAAAGTTTTCCTACTGACCTACCAATTTTTTGGATTTTCCCAAAACGTGGCCAACACAACAAATTTTTTGTTTTATCCTTATACCAACTACTGTATAGATAACCACAAATATGTAATTGATCGTTATATTTTAGATGAAATCTACTTGATCAAAGAAGAACAAATAAGAAAAACCATAAGACCATCATGAAACCATCAGGGAACGATTCAACTCAAGTCACCTCAAGTGAATTGGAAGCAAAAAACATTATGCATATCTGTAAAAGAAGTGCAGTTGGTGACAGAAAGCACATTACAAGATCAAAGTCTACCATAGAAAATATTGGAAAAAATTTACGTACTGTTGCAGATAAGATAAATACCACAAATATAGGTGAAAATCTTGGTGAAATTGGGGACAGAGTTGATTTAGAGCAAAAAATTCAACCAATTCTGGCAGCTTTTGAGCCCAAACGACCACAAGAACATCAGAATGTTTTTGAACAATGAATGATCTAAAATCTCTGACATTCATACTTCCATGGATAGTCTTCCAGTAATTCCTGTTGGCAAAATGTGTATGAGTTATTTTTATGTTTGATAACTTTGAGCAAGTTAAATTTATTTAACATACTGTATTCATAACACTACCGTACTTAAACATGTGTGGTGATCAAACATATATCTGTTGCTTTGAGATACTGTACTCTCGCGATAGAATTTAAGGTGGATTAAAATATGCATTGTACAGTATTGAACACTGCCATTGTTATTGAATACCTTAATGCTATTTATTGTGATACTGATAGTAATACATAATGTGATTTTATTATGATAGTAAAATATTCAACTATATTCATTCAGACTTAAAGATAATATGCAATGTAATAATTATAATGATACATAAATATATTATATATAAATAATGGAGAGGGTAATGTAATCTATATAATGAGATTTATTTTTTACAAACAGCATATTATATGTATAATGGGATTCTTTTTATGGTAATTTAATTTCTGTGTATTTATTTTTGTGATATCTTGCCATATATTTAGGCATCCCACTAATAAATTGTTTATTAATTTTTTAGTATTGTGCAATAAAAAGGTGGAATATTTCTACTAAAAGTTTGTATATATCATCTTTTTTGTCTCACTTGAAAATGTATTGCCTTATAAAGCATGTTATTTAAAATCAAAGAGAATGCATTATGGACTACGATCTAATTTTGCTGAGATATGAATTTTCTTCAAACAAGAAAACTATAAAATATTGCAAGTATTTGATAGTACTGTACAGTACTGATTATTTATTTATGAAAATTTCGTCACAGTACACTTAAATATGTATTTATATATGTATATATATATATATATATATATATGTATATATGTATTATAATAGGTGTGTGACTAGAGTGGTAATTTCCTAAATTACCGTTTTTGTTGGTTTTTTTTTATTAATGAATTTTCCTTAGCAAGTTTTCAAAACAAAAAAACTGAAGCACAGCTTATCACATAGAGGTATTCACTACTGAATTTACTTTTATTTTATTAGAAAAATTGTACACCTCTCAATATCTAGACATTTTTAATATTACAGTTGCTTTATTTGCACAGATTTCACTTTATGTAGGCCTTGTACCTCAATGCTGTATCAAAGCGAGAACTGTACAGTGTTAGTAAAATATCCTAAACTATAGAGGGCAGCAGATACAAACTTTTACATCTGTGCTTGAACTAGATAGTCAACACATTCATTTTTTGTTCCTTATGGAATCTTTTTGGAAGTATGCAATTTTTACAGGTGGATATAAATACTGCTGTGCAATATAGCCAATTTAATTATAATTAATTCAATTGTTGATTTTAATTGTAATAATATTTTTATATATTGTTTTGTAATGCTTTGCAAATAATAATTTTGATATACTATTACTGTACATATTTTTGCCAGTTAGTACTGGAGAGCTCCCAGACAGATGTTCATTGTACTACTGAGTCGTCTTGTATTTTTGTATCTTTATGTTCGTTTTTGTTAATTTGAAATGATATATAATTTGATTTAAGTAAATTTTTAGATCATATTTTAAAATATCTTTTTCTAGCAACAGTATTTGCAGTAAATATGAGTAAAGTACCACTATCCTGTTCCCCTAAACTTATATCCTCGAGGTTGTCAACGTGAGGCGCTATATAAATCCAGAATTATTATTATTATTATTATTATTATTATATCACCAGGCCTGTATATCGCACAATACCATTAAAGATTCAAAATAATAAAAACCTGTCATTTATTTTTTTAAATATACTGTACATTAGAAAATTATTTTCAGATTCAGAATAAATTACAAGTTTTTACCTAATACATAAATTGTGGTAAAGACAAGCCAAACCAGTCACTCGTCGCAAATCGTGTTTCAGAAAAAATGGCCAAAACATGCTGGAATGTCAAATTTAAAAAAATCTATTTTATTGCACTAAACTAACCTTTATATATCTACACATCATCCTATGCTGTTATTTTCCTCATTTTCAATGTTAAAACAACACCTTTTAAGGATTTAAAGATAGTTTCTATATGAAAAATGCCTGAAATCATAAATTTTGAAGGCTGATTTCTCATATATTGTTCTTTAAACAGCTGTGTGGTTAAACGCTTTAACTTCATAAGGAAATGTCCGATTTGAATGATTTTTTTACCATTTTATAGCTATTATTTTACTCTCTATTAATAACTCAAAATTTTTGCGACGAGTGACTGGTTTGGCTTGTCTTTGCCACAATTAGAGTCTTATACCAGATAGGAATAAAATTAGTTATTCCATCATACTAATAATTTTACGTTTATACCAAAAAACATGGTGATGTTTACGATTTCCCTTGTTTTTTTCATATTTGGGTAAAACATGACCGCTCTATGCAGCAAAATTGAATTACAAATCGACAAAAACAATCTCTATTTATATTACTGTACATTTGATAATAATTTAAAATTCACCAGAATTACTTGGACTATTTATAAAATCATTTGCATAACTCTTGACACCTCTCAAAGTCTTTGGCCCAAAATAATTACAGCTGGATTAATGAATACTGTAACATCACATTACTGTATTATGTTTAGCGTCTATGTCTTGAGAACTCTAATTTTCTATCTAGCGCCCTCTATAATCTTAGCAGAAGTTATGTACACAACTTGTACAGCCATTAATTGTTCATATTAATTGAAACATATAAATCTTATCAGTTTAACAACTGCCTACTTTATTAAATAATTGCTGAGCTACTTATTTATTTGAAAATATGTTTTTTTAAATTATTTTCTTTACATTGAGATTTATATTTTTAATTTCTTGTATATTTACTGTTGTATTTTTAAATATTTTCATCCACAGTGACAGATCCTGGAAATTCGAAATAGAGAGGGTCATAGATGATAATTTACACATGGAAGGTGCAGACTACCTCAGCCCCAGACATGTTGGGGTTAAAGGTACGAAATTTTATGTTTATTGCACCTCTGGAGGCCCAGATATGGCACTCTCAGACTGAAATTTGAATGAAATTGTATTTTTTCCCTTATTACAGTAAATAAAAAATGTAAAAATATAGAGGGGCAGCCACAGATATATTAATTTTGCGCAACATGTAAATTCCTTCATAATTCCACAGTTTGATACAACAGTATTAAAAATGTTCCTTTTTCTGAACAATTTTTCCGGATGGCAAAACTAGGTGATTTGCTTCTTGTATTTCTGTCATAATAGTATATAATATTATGATATAAAGTATGTGTATTTGTACAGTATATATACCGGTACATCAAAACTCTTTAAAAAACACAAGGACATTGATGTACAAGATAAACTTGTTTCTGGTATTATTTATTTTATCAGAACTTTAAAACTATTTTATGCTAAGCAATAATTCTATTTTAATATTTCGTATCTCGTATTTTACCCTTGTAAATTGAAAATTTTAACATTAGTTTTACGCTGCAATTCTTGAATTTCAATTTCTATTCTATGTGTTTTTATCTATTAACTTTTGACTGAATTTCATTAATTATTTTGTACATATATATTTTAATGAGATTTCACTTGACTATTTTACGCTAATTTAATTTATGTTCTCATTGGAATCGGAGAGCCACAAGACAGTGATTCAGTTCACTTTTTGGCAATCCTGTCCGGCCAGTTTGAGTGTTGTTTTTTCCTCTCTGTTATTTTGTGTTTGTCAGTTTTAATGTTCTTTGGGTCAAATAAATGAAATGAAACAAAAGAATATTTCAAACCAAATTGTCTTCTTCTGCCTACAACAATGATTTATTCCAACCACACTGGCTTCTGAACTCCGGAGAGAACAAAAATCCGTAAAACACAACTCAATGTCTTGCAAATAAAATAATGATAATGATAATCAACTTGAGCATCTTATAAACATATCGATTTTATCTTAAACTAGAAAACTCCATTCATATCATATTTTGATCATAGGCTACCAATCATGGAAAGCACATTCTATTTGCTCAAAGAAAAGTATATGTTCTAAAGTATCATCAACTTCAGTTGATTTAGATTTAAGGCAAAATGTAAAAAATTAACAAGTTCCTCGTTCTCTATTACACCTTTTTTTTGGGGCCACCTGTTTTGGAAATTTTTTGAAAACAAAACAAGAAAGGGCCTTATCCGTATTTTTAAACCAATTGGAAAACATGTTAATTTGTTTACTTGGCCCAACTGAAACATATTCTATTTCACCTAATTTCACTTTAAATTAATTTTATTTAATCAAGAAATATTATGTTACAAAGTTTTACCTTTTCACAACTTTAATAAAAATAGCATATAACTTTAATAAATATACATACATACAATAATTATATTAATATTTTCTTTATATGAAGCCGCCATGAGTGGTTGTTTACATGAGGCATTAAATTACATACATCCAGAATTATAATTTTTATTAATATCATTGCTATGTTTATCATTGAATATATAATTCAAACATTGACCACAATAGTTAAGATGCTGATCTACAGGATATACCCTTCATACCAACATTTATTCACCATTAAAACAAAAATAATATAATTATTGAAATTAATTAAAGAGACTGCAATGAGAAATGTCCTAGGAATTGTAGTGTTAGAATTACGTAATTTAAT